CCCGCCTTAGACAGAAAAGCTGGCTGGATGACTTTGGGCCAATCACCAGGAGACTGTGAGTTCTAATCCCGCCTTAGACAGAAAAGCTGGCTGGATGACTTTGGGCCAATCACCAGGAGACTGTGAGTTCTAATCCCGCCTTAGACAGAAAAGCTGGCTGGATGACTTTGGGCCAATCACCAGGAGACTGTGAGTTCTAGTCCTGCCTTTGGACTAGTCCTTCTGTCTTAGCCCAACCCACCTCACAGGGTTGTCGTTGTGGGGAAAAATAAATGGCGGGAGCATTAAGTTCTCCACCTTCGGGTTATATGTACATTATGTGAGGCAGAAATATAAAATATAAATAAATTATAATAGTCGAAACGAACCGTACCTTTTTACTCCGCGAAAGGCGAAGCCGAGTCACTGTCCCAAACTGGCTGAAGTACTGCTTGAGCTGCGACTCGTAGAGGCCTCTCGGGATGTGACCCACGTAAACAACGCCAGGTTTCACCTTCTGATTCTGGGAGGTAAAATGAGGAAAGGCGTAAACAGGCGTTGGAAGTTGCGCTCCCAGCGCTCGGCGGGAGAAACCACCGCGTCCCCGCGGTTTCTTACCTTGGAGGCCGCCTTGCGCACCCGGTGCACCTCAGCCTGGAACTCGCGCTGCCGCTCCGGGTCGAGAGACAGGAGGGGAGCCGCCGCGGATGCAACGCTGCTCGCCGCCATCACGCTTCTGAGAGAAAGACGGCAGCGCGCCTGCGTCAAAAAACAGGAAGCTCTATTTCGTCACTTCCTCTTCGGCTCTGCCGGAGGGGGCACTGTAAACACAGAGAGCAGCGGCCCCTATTGGTCAGAGCGTGAAACAGCAGCCCCTTACACTACATCGTATTTTCCTTCAGTTTTATAATCCCTCCAACATAAGATTGGAAACAAAACGGGGACAATGATTAAAGGTCAGGAGAGGGGTCAAAAGCAAGGTGATGTTCCCAGATATTTCAAGGCTGCTGGTTTAGATTTCATATTTTATATTTATTTAGTGTTGTATTTGTGGAGGTTTGAAAGCTACCCAGTGCAATTAAAAGAATGGGAAAGTTATTGTGTTTTGTTTTGTTTTTACAAAAAATAACAATAAAGTAGAAAGTATCGATGAAAGAGAATATTTGTGGCTTAGGTTGAAATGTGGAGTCTTTGGTGCTCTCTGACCTTGATTATTTTCTTGCAGACGTTTCATTTTCCAACTAACATCTTCAAC